ATTAAATAGTTAACAGACGGTCCAAAACGAGAAGAATGGAAAAATTGCCAGCCGCATCAAATGTGTGAGAAGAAAATGCAAAGTGAAGTAAAGAGAATAAAAAATGACTACTTACCCGCATGAATCAAGTGAGTGACATCAACTTCTTGTGAAGGAAATATTTTGTCAAAGACTTTCTGCTGCCCGTAGCGCGGCAGCTGAAGAATTAATACTTTTGGTTCCTGAAATAATTGAACATAATGGTACCAACAACAACAACAACATTAATGATAGCAATAATAATAATACTAGTGAGTGGTACCGCGAGAAAGTAAACGACCACTGGGGCGAACTTCGAAGAGGTGACGTAGAAACAATGAACGGGCGAAGGGAACAATGAACCCAACCAAACATCCTGCCAAAGCTGCGCCCAATGAATGAAAGCATTCCAGTAACATTATTAACACAAGATTCCCACAATGATAGTTTGGGCAGTTTTCGCATTCATAATAATAATAATAATGATAATAATAATAAAACAATAATAACAACAACAATTATAATAATATTAACGACAATAATAACTATCTATTCGCTTTCCAACCTACAGAAGCTGATCTTTCATGTGAACACCCTGTTGAAAAATGATATGGAGTTTGGAAATCTGCGAAAATGCTCAGGAATAATTGAATTTTGCCAAAATTCTAGAAGATCAAAATTTGGAGCAATTTTTCAAAATACAAACCTCGAAATGGAGTTGAAAGGATCTGACAAATTTTAGGCCTCTAATCAAAAATCAATAAGCGCAACAAATATTGGTCTTTACCGCAAAAACATCTTACCTTCTTCAGCTACAAAAAAAAAGTCAAAAATTCAAATGGCGAATCACAGTCCATCAAATAAATTCAGTCCTCATTCCCACACTTTATCACTTTTTATTTTCCAAAAAAAAACCCGAAAAAACCATAGACCCATCGAAGACAAAAAAAAGACTTACAGAAGCAAACTGGATATTCGAGGCGAAAAGCGATCGTTCTAGAAGTGCCTGTACGCTGATCAGTCGGCGCTGGTCATCGCTCCATAAATCCTCCGTAATTAATGGACAAATAAACGATGGACTCGTTTTACCATCTGTCGTATTCCTAAATGCATCCATTTAATTCCACAATTACCAAAAAAAAAACTGAAAAATCCATAATTTCTGAACACAAAAGCTAAAAAAACCTAACGCAGCGAAGCCTAAAAACTAAAAAAAATAGCAGTGAGGTAAAAAAACCCCAAATACAGCGTCTAGATGAAAATAAGCCTCATTGCCCGTACCGTAATTCATCCTGATTTATTAGTGGCGACTTTAACGATAAAGCGATGACGCTCAGCACCCACCAAAAACATCTCAAAACGGTTCCAGTCTTGCCAAGAAATTATTTCTCGAGAACCGCTGAGTTGGTAATACCTTCAGGGAACGGAACAGATGTCAGGATAGCCAAAAAGCTGACCAGAAAAGCGATGCATTATCAGTTAAACCAAAAAGATCAGTTGTTGCTAAATGCAAAAAAAAAAAGAACCAAACTATTATTACAATTACACCAAGCACCCAAGCATGAATCAAGATGGATGCGACAAGTAAAAGATAGAGAAGAATAGAGAAACTGCCAGTAGCACTAACTGTACGAAGAAGAGCGTGAGCAAAACCACAGCTTATCAAAGTAAGTAATGCAACGACGCATTTCCAGAGTAGTAATTTCTTAACAGAATCTACTGAAAAAGACACAGCAGCAGAATTTGAAAAAATGAAGAAAACTTACTTCATGACAAAAAACGGTTCAACTCGTAGAACTGTATTAAAAAGAGCATTCAACAGCTCTTCTGGATCTTTCTCGCCCGTTGTTAATCCACTCATTTCGGGTAGAAATCGTTCGAGCAGTCGCCTTAGATTAAAAACATGATCGGCACGAACGAAATGAAACCTATAACGCATTGGAACATTACTGATAGCAACGAAGTAACTATAGTTAATCAGAACTCGAAATACTTTTCACATTTCACTGCCGATGAGATGAAGGCAAAGTAATGGTGGTCTCGACCAAACGGTACCAATTCGTCATCGAAGCCAGTGAAGAAAACGTAAGAAGACTGGTAATTTCGCTGGGAAAATTTAATTACATACTTGCAATCTGAACGAAGTGCTGCCTGTAATTATAGCAAACCCAACAGCAGCTAGTTACAATTACCATAGTTCTTTCTGAAGTACTATCCACAATAAAAATTTTTGAGTTTTTTTGCATCTATGCAATGCAAAAACGCATAATGTCGAGGGTTTTTTGTGTGCATGTTTCTGTGTCTGTATGTGCGTTTTCATCTCGAGACCCAGAAAAGCTATAAGATTGGAACTTTGGCAAATTAGTCTACATCTTATGTACGGGCTCTTGCCCTCAAAATAATCGCTCACATCCGTTTGGCACTCACATACGTGTTCGTGGAAATTTTTAGCGGCTAAGTTGCTAACTCGGGAATCAAAGAAAGAAAGCTGAAATTTAAGGGATGATGACCAGTCTCAATTCTTCTAGCTAAAAGCATCTGATGGAAAAAACAGTGCCGTTAGCGACGAAAACCAGCGCAAAACTGCAAAAAAAAACGCATCTTCGCACCGGCAGCTGGTGCGCTGGCCATTTATTAATTCATAGTCTGGATCCCCATCTATGCAACTGGTAATTTTTCCACCGACTACGATTTTGTGTTTTCTGCATTTACAAAAACTACACCTGTAATTCGCAGTACACTCAAATTTAAACAGAAGTGAGTATTTAAAAATAAAGTCCGAAAGTTTGGACTACAGGCATTCAAATTTCAATGGATTTATTCCAAAGAATTTTTCGCGAATAAAACAAAAGGACAAACCGTCTTAGAGGATAAACAATTTCAGTTTTCAGGATATCAGTTACTTCCGTATGAATTGAGTCTGCCGCTGTTGCACATCTGCTTGCCAAAATGCTGCAAAAGAAATTTCGCTTATTCTTCTCATTTATAGTTCTCTGAAAGCTTCTTTACCTATATGCGATACTTCTGAATTTCAGCTTGACAGTGATGCTGATAGTTGAATCAGTAGCACTAAGTAGTGCGACGATGAATCATCAGCTGATCAAAGTATCAGAGTATGGAGAAAACCAAAGAAAACTCTCATATGACTAGGAGGTAACCCATCCTTTTTGCTGAAAGTGCCATTTCTGGAAAGCGAGTTAAAAACAAAGGATGTACGGACAAATTCTGAAGAAAAAATTCAATAATCCGCAAAAATTTCAAAATTCCAACAAAAAATTTCAGAAATTTTGAAATTTCAACATTTCACAATACTTCAAAATTTCAACAACCTGAACCTATGTTCAGCATTATCACACGTTATGGAACTTTAAGGCTTTTGGACTGCTAAAGTTTAAGGCGCTAATTAAAAGTATGCAGTTCAGGGTCGAAAGGTCTGACGTAGCTGTGTCCAGAGTGCAGGAACATCCCAGAAACACCACTAACTTGAGATGCCTGTACTGATTATCTTTATCATGCAGTCTTAATATTCTTGGTGTAAGAATATTAGGCGAAAAATCACTTGTCGAATGCGGAGCACTGCGCAAACATAGCATAGAGGGTGGCATCAAGATAGCAACTATTGCGAAAACCCTGAATCCCCTTCATTCGTCCGATCAAATTTTCGATATTTTTGGTTGGCATACACGGTCGTACTTCCACGCCACTATCCAAGCTCCCGAAATTCGATGACGATACTGAAAATCGCATAATTTTTAAGAGTCAGCAAAAACAAAGGAAAACTTTCTTTAAATTTTTTGAATTCATCAAATTCCCAGGCCCTCAACGTCCTCTGGGCTTTTGGAAATCTTTTTATTTACAGAGGCCACCATCATTAATGGAAAAATAGTCCAGACCAGAAATGAGGCGAACTCGATCTGGCATCGCCCTAACGTTGACTAAAACTCACAAATGCTCACTTAGTAATACCTCAGACGAGATAATTAGGCCCAAAGTCAGGAATATCTCGGGACAATTAAAACGTTTTCAAGTTCTCCAACGCGAAAATCACCAAGTTTGTGATTATTTCGAGGGAAAAACGAACGTCAAGATTGCCAGCAGGTTAACTACCAGCTAACGCAGCACTGATCAAAGCAACTGTAGAGGTTGCCAGCTGCATAAACGGGCAATAAAATTATGAATAACAGCTGACTCACTAGGGCGCCTAATGAAAACAATGTCCCGATAATCATTCTAAAAAAAATGAAAAAATCTAATAAAAACATGGAGGATTTAATGAGACATTTTCAAGTCCAAGAATCTAAAGAGCAGCGTAGAAGCATAAATAACAGGCACTTAAGATAACCAATACCTCTTTCGGCATCACAATTTTCGAGTATTTCTGGCATGTCGGATGTTGCAAAGCGATCATCTGGTCGAAGTGAACAGTAGGGAACAAGTGCGATCGAATCGAGACCAGCATTGACAAAAACGCCGGCATTCTGGGCCTCTTTTAGCTGCATCAGATCCATCGTTCGCCATTCGTATGGCATATCTCCTTCCTTTAAAAAAGCCCAAATGATTTTATTCGATAATTCAGTTTTACAAAGATTATTTTCAGATTCAGAACAACTCAAGCGCGATTGTTTTCAGCTCAGCTCAAGTGCTTAATTATTTTCAGAAGCAAAATAAGCGGAATTTTTGCATATCAAAGTGAAAATCCAATGTTTTTTCAAGCTTTACTTTCCATGGAGGACCGCTTCCCGATTTTTGCGGCTCAACCCAAAATCGCCATTAGCGCGGGATCCTTACAACAGTTTTTTGAGCGTTTTTACGGATTTTTATCAAATACCGCTCTGAAGTTACGATGAAAATCCAGGAGAAACACTAACAATTTCGACGGCAACTATTCGATTATTCTGCCGCACTTCGTTATCGCCATCATCAATCCACTTCACAACCCCAAAACGCCGCTCATTTCTGTACAAAACTTCAACGCACGACCCTGAAAATTTTGTCAATCGTCGACTCTGCAAATAGCTATAGATACAGAGAACAGCCGTTTTCTTCTTTTGCACTGAAGGAAAGCCAAAAATGCTCGACGTGTGAAAAAAAAAATATACAAATTCAGATATGACGCAGAAATTCAGCCATAAAAATCGCACTTATGCCACTAAAAATAGCCAAAATAACATTAACTTAAGATT